GGAATTGGGGTTTCATTATTCTGTGGTCTGTTTGGTTTGGGTTTGGGTTTGGTTTTATAATGTGTTTTTCATGGAGAAGAAAGAAAATAGAGAAATCAGAATAGTCAAAGTCAAGGGGAGATTTCTTTGTCTGCTTCGCTGACTGTGACGGGCTTAGTCGGACACTAAAAAGTAAAAAGGACTGATGTTGGTTCAATTTTACAATGCTGCCACTGGACAGGTTGGCGGAAAAGTCTTTTCTTTCTATATTTCATCACACATGAATACACATTTCAGCCTCGAGTTTTTATATTTTGTTGCGTCGAGAAATAGAAACAATTGAGTTAACAAAATAATAAATAATAATTGTAACAGGTAAAAATTTAAAATTAATATATTAGGAGATTATATTATAATTTTATTTTTATAAGTAATCTTTTAATATTGATAGACCTCACATCATTTTTAATACGATAAGTTAATATAACAAACAGTGATTAAAAAAATTATATATACATCTGTAGTACTAAAAATTTTAGGTCTCCGACTTGCCCAGAGATGAAAGAAATTTTAGTATGATAAGAGTATTATATTCTCATTGTTCGGTTATGATTTTGTCTTTATAAATATATTTTTAATATCGGTGGACCTTATGTTGATGATGATTTTATGAATGGTCTAAAAACCACAATGAGCTAATCAGTCGAATTGTGTGAAGCGAGCTATGCAAGGAGACCTGCACTCAAAAGAACAAACAATCTATCGCTCAAGACAGTCTAAATTAGCTCGAGCTAACTAAGTCATATATATAGACAAAATTGTCTACCTGTGAGCAAGAATGTTGGTGTATTTATAGGAGTCAAGGAGGAAATTGTACATTCAGGAGTTGGTTACTAATATTGTTACGCAATACAGATGCATTCCTCTATATTGTCGGATCCTTAGCTCGGGAGAGGCGAGCTAAGGTACCTTTACCTTATTTGAGATTCTAAGTGTTTTCTATTGAGTTCCATAGATCAATGCCATTACGTTGGCTGTGGACCAATATCTTTTATCAACATGACATGCTATAATTTATCCTCTAACACCATACATCATTTTTAATATAATACTTACATAACAAATAGTGAATGTGAAAAGTATACGGATTCTCGTAGTAGCATAAATTTTTTTCTAAAAAAATATGGGGACTAGCCAAGCCTCTAAGTGGTTGGAAAATTTGCCTATTCATTTCTTACGTGCATTTTAATTCTAACATTTCTATTTAAAGAAAAGCGCCGAGAGTTTATCACAAAATAGTAGTTGACAAATAAGATAAAATAAATGTAAAAAATGAATAGTTAAAACTTAGAAAGGGTGATATGGTTAGGTAGTGGGACAATAATGAAAACAAAAATTGTAAGAGATATTTGGCTCGTCATTATAACCCATGTAGTTCAAAATAATTTTTACACCTGCAAAGATGGTAGTTTTAGCAAACAATTTTTTTTAGTACGAAGTGGGGAATCGAACTCACAACCTCTTACTTTGAGATATATATCAATTATCGTTGAATTATGCTTGACGTTTAGAAAATAAATTTGTGTACTTCTTTGTAAAATACATATTTACATAGTTATGAGTAACAATTGAGTTAACATCAATCAAATATTGAAATTTGAATGGATTTTTTTTAATTTTTATTTACTTTTAAAACTATTTCTAAAAAATTGTGATGAAATTATTAGTAAAAATAATGTTATTACACGCCTCCAAAGTCCAAATCATTCCTCGCGTAAGTCACAAATTTGTAGTTTTCAAAATAGTAACAATTTCATATTTTATTAAAAATGTGAAATCAAATATTTAAAAAATAGATATTAAAAATTTATATGTATAACAATTTTAATATCCGTGAAATTTGTTTAACCGCGATGAGAGGGAAAATGTGGGACGAGGAGACCTTGACTAAACTTTGGTGCCATCATGGCATGACGTGGATGACGTACTTAATTTTTTTTAAGGAGGTACAAAGTTTTACGTGTTAATTAGCTTCAACTTATATATAAAATATCGGTAAATATTATTTTAACATTTATATTTTTAGCTTTGGTTCATTTTAAAATCTGTGTTTTCAAAATATCTATTTTAGTTTCTATATTTTAAAAAATTTCATTCTTTTTTTTTTTTGAAATATCTATATATCCATCTGATATGTATGTAAAATTAAGACTTCGACATTTTCATCGAAAGAAGGGTAAAAGTGAAACTTGAAAAGAATTTACTTCAGTTCGCATTCTTCGTTTCAAAACGAGTCCAACAGTACTTACAGGGCTGAAGAAGACTCGCTTCCACCCGTCGGCCTAATAAGACCTGGGTTCCCCCGAAATCTCCCAGTAGTCCGTTCTCGAAATGTAACATCTCAAAGTTTGATTAAGACATGTATCTTCAATTAAAAGTTCAATCGTTACAACCTCACCTACATATTACTATTTTAAATTAATGAGAAATAAAACTATACAAATAGTGCTCGTGGAATTTTTGGTAATCTAGCACGAAAATTAAGTCCCTACTCTTCTAAACCACTACCCCACTAATATCTATCTCTTTCAGTGAATATTAAGTCAAGTCAACCATTGACCCAATCTAGACGTTATGAACAACAATTCATTAAATCAATTAACTAATTCAATTTTTCTATTCCTTTGCCAAAAAACGAAAAATATTCTCTCTTTTGGTGTTCACCTCTTATCTTTCTTCGTCTACTAATATAATTGTTCACAAAAACATATACAAAATTTTGGGTAAAATATAATAATTTCTAGTTCATTCTTCCTGTTAAAAAACATGAGTAAAAATATTATTAGACATAGTTTTCGTTATGCTATTGTACTTAGTAAATCGGTCAAAATTTAGATGAAAAAATGTAATCGAGCAAAGACAACTCGAAAATTCCTTCCTATTTCTTAGAAATTTAGAAGATAGAATTATAATTTATTTTCTTAGATGTCTTTTGTTCTTATTTAAAATTTATGCAAATTCATTAAACATTATGTCATGTAAAGGAGTACAAAGTATATTTTGCATTTTCTTAATTGTTATAGGATTGGGATGGAATGAGTTTAATAGAAAATCTGTTAGGAGCAATATTAGATTTTTAGCTGTATAATTAAGTTTGTATTTTCTCATGTTCAACTGTGAAAGAAAATCAGATATTATATATATATATATATTTATAAATTTGATTCTTTAATATAGTACCTTTCAGACTTGAGTTGACATTTAATTTTTATTCTATTTTATTTTGACAGTTGTTTCCATATTATTTGAAGTATATTTTCAAAGTTTCTATTTTGTTCAAAATGTATGCATCCGATAAATTTTTTTGGGTAATAATTTTGTGATAAGTCAAGTGAGTTACGTATTAGTAGGGTTACACTAATGAAATCAGTAAACTAAATGGAATTGATTAATTAAGTAAAGATGGGTTGGTCTCAACTCATAAAATTCAAAAAATAAAATTAAAGAAAATGCTGATTTAATCGCTATTGGAAGAACAGTTTCGTTCAATTCTTCAAAAGAAAATTGATTTCGACGTGACTTTAAGAGCAAATCAACATTTATTAATTGGTAGACTAAAGACCAGATAAAAGCTTCTATTAATTATGTTAAAAAAAAGAGCTTCTATTATTTTCTCTATAAATTCGCTCAAGATTTATGGTAATTATCTTCGATAAAAAAAAATAGAATTTTCACCCCATATATTATATTAAAAAAAGAAGAAAAAAAAACTTCAATCATTTTGGAGGGATACATACCTTTTAAGATAACAAAAGTTTTATACAGGCAGGTATTGTTTATTTATATCATTAAATTATAAGTAAAGTTGGGACAAATTAATTCAAGCATAGAGACTGACCAATGTGGAATATGACTGGCACTTCTTGCATCTATGTCTATCTTAGGAGGACTAAATCACTCTATGAGACGAAACTCGTCTTACCTTTAATGGTGGAATATGACTCGCTTAAAGTCATTTGTTTCTTGAATCAATTGGAGGAGGACCTTTCAATGATCAATCATACTTGTTGGTGAATTCTATTAACTATGAGAAGACTAGACTATTCTCACCTAGATGAATTAGAGGGATAAGATCCATATTCTTCTCACCTCGATGAGCCAGAGGGAACAAGCTAGGTAAGGAGAGACCTACATAGAATTTTTATGATTGAAGGAATGCAAGTAATTTGAAGCTCAAGTCAGTCAGAGGTTCGACTTGAGTAAATCAGTCTCAGACAGAATTGCGTACCTTAAGATAGAGTGAGTGTTCTTTTAGAGAGGAGAGGGGGGAATTCGCTCTCTTACAGTTGTTTTAGGAATTTGTTACACTTTTACATACAATTGTGGGAGATAGATCGGAGAAACACGTTACTCAAAACCAACCTTCATGTATAACATACGTAAAAGTAGTGTGACATATCCTAATTGGTCCACGTGGCATGTTGGATTTTGTCCTCCTTCACTGACATTCGTAGAAATAATAATAGTGCATCATACGTAGAAATAGTAACACAGTGCAGCGCACAAATTGGCAAATCCAGTAAGGCGTCTTGAACTTTTCGAATCGTGTAGTCACCTTTCTATTTTTGACTTGAAAATCTAATTACTATTAGGATGCAGCTTTGTTTAACTAATGCGTGTTCCAATAATAGGTTTCTAAACTTTTTAGGTCTAATTTGATAACTATTTCGTTTTTAGTTTTTAGTCAGGTCTCATTTGATAACTATTTCGTTTTAGTTTTTAATTTTTAAAATTTATATATATTTATTTGCTCTCAATCTATTTGGTATGTTTTCATCTACTTAAATACTTAAAAATACATTTGAATTATGAGTAAAAAATTTTAAAAACAAAAACCAGTTTTTTTAGCTTTCAAGATTGAGCTTAGTTTTGGAAACGTTTTTTAAAATTAGTTAGCAAGATAAAAGAAATAATAGGTGATGTAGTGTTTGCATGCTTAACGTTCAAAAATTTAAAAAATAAAAAAAATTATCAAACAGGTTTTCTAACTTTTCTCTATTTTATGCATTTCCTTTGTACCAAGCTCCTCCTTGAAAATGACAGAAATGAGTAATATTCAAGATTAATGAGCAAGAAACTAATAGAATCATCGATCAATTTGGTAACGTCTCGTTTCTTGTTTTCATTTTCTCATTTTTAATAAAGAAAAATAGAATTATATGATCTCAAACACCCATAGATTTAAGAATGATAAAACGATATTTTTTATTTATGTTGGAACAAATTGAAAACAGGACAAGAAATAAAAAAAAAAACTTGTTTTTGTCGTTCCAAAAATTCTATATATATTTGTTTTTACAAAATTTAAGAAATGAAAAATAAGAAACATAAATAGTTACCGAATGCTTAGATTTGTTGATAAAATTAGAAATGAAAAACAAGAAATCGTTACCAAACAAGCTTCTATATCAAAGTGATTTACTTCAATACTTCAAATGGAAACCTGATTCCTTTAGAAACTGTACAATGTTTAACACAATATGATTAAAAGAAATATAAGGAGAAATTCCTGCTATAAGAATGATAATAAGTTCAATTCATAATTACAATTTACACCCACTATAGTACAAGACTAAAAAGAGTATCATATGATATACATTTTCATTAAAAAAAACAATTGATAAAGAGTTCACTGGCATCCCACTACTAAGGGAGCAATATATAATCATCTCTTTGTTATATCATCATTTTTCACAGTGAAATCCCACAAGTCTCCATACTTCTCATTGAATTCCCAGATGTCCATGGTGTTATAGTCTGATATCAACTTGTCACGAGCCCCTCTCTCCATGTTATATATCTGAGGTTCGAAGTTGTGTGGTTGGTCTGGCTTGTCCATTTCAATTATGCAAAATACTATTGTAAATAAAGCTGCTCCAATGTACAGATACTCCCCCTGAAATACAGTCCAATAAGAACGAAGTGTCCCCTCCCCAACAATAACGAAACAAGCAAATCAATGGCGTTTGGAGATATCGTTCAAAATTACCGGTAAATTGAAGTACATTCCAGCAGCAACTGCTGGTAGGAAGAGCCATGAGATGATGCCTACCAAAAATGTCAAATGTTGATGATATGATACTAATTGAGAGTTGAAGTCAGAGGATTGAGTTATCAGAGAGTGAGTGACAATTGTTTACCTTGAAAACCTGTTGGTGGTCCAACTGCAACAATATCATCTGCAATGGCTCCCCAGAATGTGCCTGTGAAGAAATTGCCAGTGAGAAGTAATCACTAATCAGCACCAGCATTTACTAGCCAGATGATTTTGCAAGGAGAGGAATGTCCTTAGTACGAAAACAATTAGTTGGTTACTACTCCACACAGAACATTCTGAGTCATTGTTATTACTTAAAAGTTAAAACAAAAAACAAAAAAAACAAAAACAAAAATCTTGCATCAGAGCCACCTTCGACCTTTTATATGATTAAGAGTGAGTTTGATATGATTTTTAAGACTATGGCAAATGAAGTACTTCTGGGGAGAGTTTCAGTTAACTTCTCCCTCTAAAAACACTTTTAATGTACCTTTTTAAGCATTCCTTGAATTTTAGGAAAGATTTTTGGCCATGTAGCTAAATATCATGACAAACTTTTCACTATTCTAATGTGTAACACGTTCCGAGTGATATTGATTATAAATTGTTTCACCTTGGCTCAACTGTGATGGCAGTGGGAAATGTTAAAGTCTTGACTCCATAGCTTACGAAAGTAGATTTCTTAAAAGCTCAATTCCAAGCGTGGCATTCTAATTTCACAATCTTACAATTTCAATTACATTTCTGTTTTTACCTCATTTGCATGTAAAATTGGAATCTGGACAACGAATGCACAGAGCTACGAGCTCCAATAATCAAGAACCTCCTCCAAATTCCACTCAGCCCGAACAGAAAAATTCATCAAAAACAGAAAGAAGTGCTTCTAAATTCTAGCATTCAAATGTTCTGGTAAAGTTCTAAACAAGGAATAGAAATAAACCCAATTACATATGTAAACGAACTAACCTTTTTTCTCGCCTTCAAAGTAAGTGTGATGTCCATCGTATTTTCCATATTCAAAATCTTCCTGAGATAAAACACAAATGGTAAACAGACCAGCCAACATATCTATCCCATGATTCCGGGAAGAAGTAAAAACAACTAACATTTATTTTATTTGAAATAAAATTAGTATAAACAATTAAATTCATCAGATTCCTAACACACAACTTGAAAACCTAAAACATAACAAAATCAGCAAGATAAGAGGCACAGAGAGAGCATAAGGAGATCGATTCGTACAGCGCTAACACTGTTGGTTTCCCAACGATCTACAGGGTCTTCGTTTAAATCGGGTTCAATCTGGGACAATCCTGCCGCATTCAGCCGCCGTGAGCCGCTTCTCGTCGCCAATTTACCGAGCAATCTTTTGTTCGAGAACGCCGTGGCCCTAATTTCAGAAGATTTGAAGACGATTTTGGGGACTGGATTGGACGATAGAAGGGGAAGGGAAGAGCGGAGCGCCATTTTCCGGTTTATCTTCTTTAATTTCTCAGCTTTAAATCCCCGCCTTTTAACTTGCTCCTTCAATGGCGGCATGACCAATGAAATTTTGCCACGCAGCCCCAAACTGCAGCTTATAAATAAATAAATATATATATATATATATTTATTTATTTAAATTGTATTTTCTTTTTTTTTTATTTGGTTTGAGTAAATATAGCCTAGTTTGAAATATATGTTAATTACCGTTGAATTATGCTCTTTTGACAATTGTATTTTCCTCTCTAACATTACAAAACTGCTCGCCTCTAAACTAGAGTTGTACATATTTGAATTTTTAATATCCAAACTTACTTAAATTGTTGTGATTAAACTTTTAAATATGGCAAGTTAAACAAACAACCACTAAATTATAAATATTATTACAATCAAATTATTGATTTGTAATATTATTACAATCAAAATTTATAATATTATTACGATCAAATTCAAGTCTTCATATTAATTTTTGTTTCCTAATTGAGATGTCGGGCTCAACATTTATCTGAAAATTAAAAATTTCAAAGATTATTACTATAGTTTTTAATTTTTATACAATTAAATAAAAACTTGGTTTAAAATGTAACAATCCATGTCCGATTGCAATAATTTTCATTATTGGTTTGTTGATTTTACCATACTTAAGGGTTTAACTGTAACAATTTTGTAAAATTAAGGCTTGAAAGTTTTAAGGGTATGGCTGATTTGGTGGTTTTTTACCATTTATCCTAATTTTAGTAATTCTATTTTGATTTTTTTATGGGGCTTATGGTGCTAAAATTTCATATTTCTTGTGCTAAAAAAAAAAAATCATGTTTCTTTTAGCATAAATTTTCGCAAACTACCACGTAATATGCTATTCTAAATAGCAAGTGTCAAATCCTAAATTTCAGTAGATTTGAGCCCAGTTTAGTAAATTAAATTAAGTATTGTATAACAACTTAGTTTTTATAATTCATAAACACATTTTGAGGAGTTTCTCACTGATGATTTGATAATAAACTTGAACTATAGAGACTAACTTGTTATGCATGGAATTTTAATGGCTCAATTGTAAAATAGTGTTACAAACTAAAGATTATATTGTCATTACTTCAATTAATCTTAGAAGAAATTCAGAGGACGAACATGAAATGGGTTCCTCCTCCAACACTTACATGGGCGCTTAATATGGATGCTTCTTGGTCAGAGACACACCAACTGGGAGGCCTGGGATGAGTACTGAGAAATTGGAGGGGCGACGTCGTTTCTGCAGGTTGTAAAATGGTGGAGTCTTGCCAGGGAGTGAAGAGATTGGAGGCGGAAGCAGTGTGTAAGGCCTTCGTCATCTCTTCTTTTTCGAGTGGAAACTGATTCAGAGGAGCTTGCCAAGCTTCTGTGTGATTAAGTCCTAAAAACTCTCTGCGGGTTTATCTCTTTTGGAAAGTAGATAGAAGGACCAATTTATATGTTCACACAGTTGGGAAAAGATCCCATAAGAAAAGGGAAAGTGTATTTTGGGATAATTGTATCCCTAGTTGGCTGAATTGTCTAGCCAATCAGGATCTTCCATGTTGTTTTACTTCTTTTTTCTTAAAAAAAGAAAGAAGAAGAAAAAACTAGAGTTTATATAATAAATTATTATATAAAAATTAATTTTGCATGGGTAAGTTTGTAACCAACTGCTGCCAAATTTTGGTTTCGTGTCAGTGTCATGTCACAAAGAAATGCAAAATACCTTTCCAAAACAACCGAAGGTCGTATATCCCCAAGCATGTGAATTCCTTCTCTCGGTTTGTCTCTTCGAATGTCCCGCCAATTTTTGTCATGACAAAACAAAAAACAAGTCTAATGACTAATTTAGTATGAAAATGTTTTGACAATTTGTAGTCCTAAATTTAGGACTTAGTACTACTAACTAACGAGCTATGCTCTAAGTGAGATGAACTAGATATGGGTGTGGACCAAAAAATTCAATGGGACAATCGAGTATACTTCGCATATCCATTTTGATTTGATCCACTCTCACGATTGAAAGTTTAGGATTCGTTTGAGAATATTCCTGTTTTTTTTATATTTTTTTAATAAAAAAAATGAGTTTTATAATCCCAACATCGATGAATTCAAATATGATAAAATATTTTTTTAAAATTATGTTTTGGAATATATTAAAAATTGGAAACAAAAGATGAAAAATACCTCTAAAATTTACCCTTTGTCAAAAAAAAAATACTCCTATTATTTCAAAAGTTTCAATAAAAACTTTAACTTGTTCAAAAATATTGTTTGAGTAAACATCAATTAATATTTTGAAAAAAAAAAGTTTACATGATATAATCTATAACGATGTGATAATTAAGGTAGAGATTGCTTACTTGAATTAAGTTTGAAAATAGAAAAAATGCAAAATAAACAATTGTTTTAAATAATACTTTTAGAACAAAGACGTTGTCATGTCAACTTTGCTTGTAATATTAAAGAAATGGTATTGGTATTTGAAATATAAGAGCCTAGAGCATTGAGACTTTTGAAAGGAAATGAATCGTTTTCGTATGTTTACGAAGGTTTGGAAAGCGTTAACAAAGTATATAAAAAGAAAGGAACTTATTGCCATACAACTTGTTTGGGAAAACTAAATACTTATTCTAGGAGTCTTTTATTTATTATTTGTTTATAACTTTATAGAGAGAAGAAAAAATTAAAGGGGAGCTTGAATAATTTAATAGACCAAACCAAAGTAGTGGAAGCGCTACACGAAAATCTCAGTTCCAAATCGCAATACCCTTTCCACCCAAGAAACAAAATACAGAAACAAAAGCTTTACAAAAATGGCTAATCACAGATTGCATTTCGTCTGCCA